ATAAATGCCAAAGAATGATCTTTAGAATCACAATAAAAATACCCCATTAAATTTTAAGCTTCTGTGTTTTTTCTTTAAAAAAGTAAGGAACCTCGAAATGGATCACCTTTTACTTGTATATACGTCGAATAGGGATACCAAAATTTGACGGTTACTAAAAAGACAGAAACATCCCATTAACCCATTTATTTATCGAACTAATTAATAAACGGTTTTTTCAAATCAGTTGCCTATCATGAAATAATTTCTGAACGTGAAGTTTAAAATTTTGCTATCTTCAGTTATTTGGAACTTAGAAGTGAGCTTTTCGAGCTTCGGCGGCAGCGACTGCGTCAATAATTGTCTGAAAATCCAACTTCTTGACTAATAAGTGTAGCTACACCGTGTAGCTAGTCCTGAATTCCCGCCCTGTGGAGAGCATGATCTATTAGTTTTTAATGCTATTATCAAAGCGTTGGAAATATTTTGGGAAAGGCAATTAATGAAACATACTGSCATCAAGGTTATCATATATATGTAAATCAGGCTATTACATTTAGGAACAGAAAGCGCGGCTCCAGCAGGATAGAAAACTTAATGACTGTAAACTAGAAAATTAACTCTGATAAAAAGTTTTTATTACAGTATAATTTATATTTTCGATATTTATCCCTGTTTATAAAGATTTGCAAATGAACGAGAACAAAACCTACGCAACATTTTTGTTTAATGTTGAATACTAACTAGTGGTAATATGGTAAAGAATAGCATTGCTTATTTAAAAGCAGCTAACAAAGATTATCTGCAAGTTATAACAGCTATGTTCGTCAGCAGTAATAAATATTTTTCTTTCTAACAAACTTGAGTTCTAAGCTAAAGGAAATATAGCAATAATATGTCGCAACAATTGAATAAATAGAGCTAAAAAACAAATCGAGCGCAAATTTTGTATACAAATATTTGCATTCACATTTATGAACGTCGAATCCTAAAACAGTTTGAGGCAAAGTTTAAGTTGCTAAAGAAAGATAGGTAAGTCAATAAAACTGTGTGCAAATTCCTTTTAACTCTTTAGGAGTATGACGACTGTACATAAGTATATTGAAGTTGTTTCTTTGAGTGCGAAACTAGAACTTAGCATAGCGCTTGAATCATCATGTTGGCATCAGCGAAATGCCAGAGCATCTCAAGTACTTGTATCAAAAGACCTAAATTTTTTTGCAATAACCACGGAGAGTATTAATCGCAAAAATGATGATTGACAAAGCACCTGACGACCCTACATTGATAAAATGTATCATTACGTGACGAGACGTGACTAGATGATTGTATATAAGGTCAATTAGGAATACTATTATACATGGTCATTTTGAAGCATCTATGTAAAGAAATTTGTGGTAATCGARCAGATTTGAGTGTAGATGATTAATAGATTTTCCAACACTTTAATGGAGCGTCACTTTCTAGCAAGATTTTAGCTGACTTGTTGGCCAAAGACTCTGGTTTCGTCATCACTCAGGCAGCATATTCGCCATATTTGTTTTCCTGTGACTTTTTTCTGTTTTGAGAACTTTGAAAAACCATTTCATTGAATCCATAAAAGACCTACGTTGAAAGCAATTCCAGCCGAGGCTTATAACAAGTGTTTCAGAATTTCTTTGTCAAGGGGGGAGCCTGCTTTATTGCTTTAAAAAAATCGTTTTTTTTTTTTTTTTTTTTTGTTTTTTTTTTTTTGCTTCAATTTCCGTAGAAGTAACCTGAGAATATGTCCCCAAAGGTATAGATGAAAATTCGAAATATTTTCGAAGTTAGAAGAGAAAAAGTGATCGAAATTTGATAGGCGATTCTCGTTTTTCATTTTTACTAATTTTCTTAATTGGCGGGAATGATAGGAAAAAACTAAATGTCGTATTAAATTGGGGCAAAGTTTATTATATTTGGCATTMAATGATCTTCTATTTAAACTAAGAAGAGTCAGGCTTGAACGTATTCTTAAACATAAGTAAATTTTTTTTTTTGGCCAAAAACAATATTTTTTTTTATTTTTACAATTTTTACACTTTTTGGAATTTTTTCAGTTTAACTAGAAGAAAATTAGTAAAAAATATGAATCTCTTTGAATTTTTTGTTTCCGATAGAAATTGCGACCTGCCCGCCGTCCGACAAATGCTTCCCAGAGGCAGAATATCAAAGGTTTCGTATCCAAAAATTGTGAGTGATGTTTAAATATATAACTGCAAACCCTAGAAATCTCGCTTTAATCAATTATTTCTTTCTCTCCCAAAAAAAAAACTCAAAAAATCGATTTTTTGAATCCTCTAAAACAGGCCCTTACTAGTGTAAGTTTGTATCCCTAAAAATTCTAACATAATATTTCAGTTTTTATATAAGAAAACCCGAGGAAACTCACTAACCATTTAACTACCTGAAACTGTGTTTGTTTTTAGCACTAACCAAGACCTAACTAATCGTATGGCATCAAATTATTAATAACACATTAATTTAACAAAGCTATCGTAACACGTTAAGAATGACCAATATAAAAAAAGATTAAATTACTAAAATATTTTGTTCACTAAGAAGTTTATGTTCCAGTGTGAACCCTTYAAATGGAAGACGACAGTAACACAATACAAATTTAAGCATTCAAGTGCAGTCATTTCGAAAATATGACACAAGTTGCTTTTCAGAAAATAGTCACAAATCTTTAGCAGAAAGGTAAGTATATCTACCTTTAGCTTAATATAATATAATATTTAGCGGAAAACCTGAAGACACGAAATTCACAGAAAAAGCGCGAACAACAATCTGCCGAAAAGTGTGTGGATTGCCAYATTATTGACAACGTAAATGTTTGTGTGAACCTAAGTAAATATTATGTAACGTATATTTGTGCACTGCCTTGCATGGAAGGCGTAGCCACGAAACAGTTTATTGACTAAACGACCAGAGTGCGATGAGCCAATATTTTAAGTCAAGCTCATAAATGTTGAAAATAATTTATTGTGCAGCCGTTTATAAAAAGAAATTGCGACTTGAACATTTCACATTTGAGATAATTTGCAAGTGCAAAGTTTGCATAACTGTAAACTCAAATTCACTGCGGTGGCAATTAACACATTACATCAAGCAGTCGAACGTTTGACTTTGTAGAAAAACTAGACCCGGTGGTGGGCGATTTAAACTATAATGATATTTTAAATACAGAAGGCGGTAAGCTGATACTCGCAGTCTTTATCTCTTTTAAAAATTCGAACGCGAATTCTGAAAAYGCAAGTGATTTAGTTTGAAAAACTAATCGTTAAAGATTTGTTCTCGGAAATTAATAAATATGCACGATTTTTAAATGATTTAAGCGATAGTTTCGCTTTTAACGGATGAACTGAATTAACCAGAAAAGAGTTTCTTATTATTAAATATTGTATATATACATATATACCAGAGAAACTAAAAATAAATTTTAAAGCTGTAGGGTTATGAAAATTCAATTAATACTCTGAGACGAGGTTYTCGACTCATAACAAAGGCAATGTAGCGTGGCTCAAATCATTGATAAAAAAAGATAAAACTACTTCGAATTAGTGCCGCCTTTATTRTATTATCCAGATCGAGCACTAACAACGTTTTACTGTCCTCAGAATTCCGGTAAATAATTGCTGGAAATAAATTTAGTGAACATAGGCCTATTTCCGATTATTTGATACATTTACTCTTCCAAGATAGTGATAAAACTAATCGAGATAGATAAAGAGGTTGTGGTAGTACCAAGCTCGGTGAGAGGAGCACATTTTCAGCGCTGTTAAAATAAGTCAAATCAGATAATAATAACTCTCACTCCCCATTTAACAGTTATGCTAAAAATTAGTAAAGATCCGATAACTCATTAAATGAAATAAATACGGCAAAGATATTAAACTTTACGGCCGAGATGGTTAAGAAGGGTCACAATTGGACAATGGACATGGCGCCGCCCACATTTAGGTGAAATTCAATACCGCAGATTCTACGCGGCTAATTTACAAAAAAAAATTGTTGTTGTACATTGTGAGGATGGGTTGCGATCAGCCCAGATCTTTTCTTCGCACGAATATATGCCATATAATGATTCCGAACTTTCCATCTGACTCTAAAACTCCTCTGTTGATGTAGAGTGTGTGATATTTTACTGGAAAATGTGGACTTAGTAACCATAATGTGGCTTAGCGATGTGATGTGAAGGAAATTTCTCTAAGCTGCATATTCCTAATAGGCTTGATATAATGATTTCCGACCAGATCTCTGTGATTAGCCAGGTCCGTTTAGTCAAGTCCGTCTAACTGTCCCGCTGTCGAATATATGCAAGCTAGTCCCTCAGTGTTTGAGACAACGATCTGTAAGTTTTTCCCTTTCAAAGAAGCTACTTATTTCTCGGAACCGTCGATATCAGACCTCTATAAAATTGGCGACCATAAGCACAGACCGATCAAAATGAAGTTCTTGTATTGTAAAACTTTTCATTTGACAAGATATTTTCATAAATTTCGGCAAGGTTTATTTAAGGCGATCTCCAAATATTGCATATTGTGCTTAKTGCACCACTATAGCTTCCAGCTGTCACTCCAACTGGCTACCGGTGGAAGTTATCAGTACTATTGTACGTATAACTATAAATGACGGCTACGAACGATAACACAGCTGTGTGTTRTGCTGTTCAAGGAAATTTTTCTGAGCTTTCTGGATGAAGTTGATGTTCTGTAGACCAATGAGTCAGACTTAAGTTAAGGCAGGCAACACACAAATTCACAGTTTAAAAATGAACGTATGTACATATAGCGTTGACTGATAACATTTCATGAAATTGCAAGATGTTACTCAATTTATTTAAGCTAAGTTCTGAAATAATAACCACATTTATGCACTCAGTTCCATAATTAGCATATTAAATCCATACACCACAAATATTTMCATACATATTAGTAATATAGCAAAAGCAGTGCGAAGTAAAGCAGCTTGTGAATCAGCTTGATTGTTGYAGCACTCACCAGAAACAAATAAGTGAAGAACAAAAGCGGCAAAGCCGGCCGCGAGCACCAAGAAGTTGTGTGGGACATTTTTAAATTCCTGAATCAGCGCAATACGCTTTGTCACAGCAATAAATTAGGTAGAGTATTCAAGGCACAAGGCGCACTTGGTGCACAGCACAAAAAAAAAATTGATATTTCTGCTTTTTTTTTTTTTTAATTTGGCACACTTTATAGAATTTCCCAGAAGCTTGAGTATGCCGTGTACACCAACTGTTTAGGCTGCGCGCTTTTATCACATCCGCGACATCAACACGTGCGTCGTGTGSGCCCAAGCGAAAACTCAAATCCACACTCGGACTGGTATTTCCACTGGATATACGTTTGTTTGTACACGATTCAGTGTCGTCTACAAATAACCAAAGCCCGAAAAACACGCTATATTGCTTCCTACTTTAACTAAATTTAAGTGTTTTTATTTCGTTTGCTTCTCTTCACTACACTTTTCCATAAATTTTTTGTTTTTGTTGTCTGCTTATTAAATTATCGGTTTATTATTTTGCTTTTATTTTTTTTTGTTTTTCACTTTTGCTTTGTCAATCGGCARCGTGATTCGTTGTTGTTTGCTTTACACGGTAATCGCTGGGCGCTGATCGAGCTCCGTTCGCCGAGCGTTGCTTGTTCAACCGTCACAGCTGTGGCCACGACTGATAGYGAGTAGACCGTGGACGCCACAACAAAGCTTCGATCGAGCTTCAGAGTTTCAAGTCCAACGCTGATTGCTGGCTTTTGTTATTCTTCTCGATTGTGGAGACTATCGCACGCAAYCAACGCGACAGCGGCTTCAAATTGTAATTAAACGCTCTCCAAACTGATCCCCCGCACCAGTGCGCGCTCTTTACCTTGCAATGCCGCCGAACGGCTGATCGGTCTCCACACTAACCAAATGACAGCTGATCGCTGCATTTTTTGTTTAACTTTTGTTTTACTCAGCTCTTCCATATTTACCTATACCTATAGTTTGTACCTCTCGCTGAACACTGGCTGAGACCAGCTCATTTAGTTACGGCTGCCTACTATTTTTAGCATCCGCACAATCCGTTTTTGCAYTCAGATAAAGATCAAATTACTTTAAAAATTACAAAGAATTGGAATTTCTCTTTACATATAATTTGTTAGGTCTCACTACTATATTTAGCGTAAACAGAGAAAAAATTTTTTGAAGGTTGAACTTGCATGATCAGAATCAGTTGTAGAGACCTTGAAAATTTCCGCATTGCATTCCATGAAACAAATTAGATCGCGTCAAGTGATCCAAACAATAAGTGATGCATTAACCATAGAATTACTTAAATCAGCGATTTTGGTGAAACATCAGTGGGATAAGCGAATGATTCTGCAAATTGCAGTCCAATCAGAAGTAACTTAATATTACATCTCCTTATTACTTTGATCTACATRTAAATACCAGAGAAACGTTTTATCTGTAAATTTATTAAAATTAGTTTTATTTTCGAATAATTTAATTTAATTTTTTTATTCCAAAAGTTTTCGAAGATAACTTAAATCTGGTTCCGCTCGAACTTGGCTACCTTTGTTTTTTTGGTTATCAGCAAAAATTCTGGGAATTACACTGACTGATTAACTGCTATCGYTATGTGTACCTTTGAACTTGAATCTTTTCGGATTTTTTAATCAGATTTATTGAGAGCTACCATATAGTGTATTTAAAAATAATTTTTGTAAAAAATGTGTGAATGTATATCACAGATAATGTGAGAGATTTGATCTTAAGGGGAGACGTTCTCCTATGCATGTTTACACCAGTGTTGAAAATTTGAAAGCGTTCTACTCACAACACACCTTTTSAAAGCCGTTGCTCCTCATAACATCAAAACTTAGTTTCGAAACCTTGAACTCCATTTTTATATGTAATATAAGGGATATCACTTTTTCTAATCTGTTAATACTTTCATTTTACCCTAAAAAWTTATTCGAGTTGTTGGCAAAAAAAAGCGCGATGTTTCTTTCAAAGTGTTTCCAAAAATTTAATYTAGTAATAAAGTATATTTATAAATGGATTTTGATTTACAGGAATTAAACTCACTCCCCCTACTAGAACTCCCTTGACTTTTCATAGGAAAGAATTACGGCTATAATAACCACCATCAGAAAATAGAGATTGCGGCTAAGATAGAACTAACCTCACTCATAAACATTGACATTTTGRTCAGAGAATTTTCGAAGGAAATGAAATCGAATGTTTTTAATGTTAAGTCAGAATAAGGCAAAAAAAACAAAAACATTTATTTTAAATGAAAAAACAGTGTGCTTGGGACATAAAAAGGTATGTTTGCATTAAATTTCTTAAAAATTTTAAAATATATAAAAAACAATTTGAGGTTATGTTCAAATAGTCTTCAAAATCATCTAACGAGATAAAACATTTCAACAACGCCCGTTTATTTTTTCCCGACATCAATTCGCCCGCAAATAATTTGATATTTGTTTTCTAACTTTCTTTTTTAAGGGGTTATTTGGCTACTTTTCAACATAATTTTTTCATTTTTTTTTCTCATATAAAAAATAAAAGCATACACTTTTAACAAAGAAATGGATTTTTGGAAAAAATATTTTAAACTCGGGCATTGCGCCGCCATTTTCGGCGACTCTTCGCATAAAATATGCGCCCTTGTTGACAGGCAAACTCCTTAGAGAATCATGTAAAGTGAAAGTGTTTTAGTTAAAACCTTAACTTAGAACTTGGACGACATTTTTGCAAAAAACATTAAAATTTGAGYAAAAATTATGCGACATTTTTTTCAAATAGCTGTAATCCAAAAAAAATCCTTCTTCCAAATCTTTAAGAGTTGTTTTTCAAAGATTTGTGTAAAATTATATGAAGATTGGTTGAGTCATTCTCGGGAAATCTTGCCAACCGACTTCAAAAACACAGTTTCGAGATAAACGCGTTTAAGGATGGCGCACTTAGCCTAGCTAACATCTCTAGTTATAGCAACAACTTTAATTTTGAGTTCTGTTTCATTTCGCCTCGCCCTGCATTTTGGGGGCTTATTAAAGGCGGCAGTAAAATCTTTGAAACCTGACATTTGTATAAAGAACTTCAGACCGTCGTGGTTGAAGTAGAAGCTATTTTAAAACCTCGTTCATCAAGTTCACAAGGCTGTATCTCCGAAACTATAWCTCGGATGAAMTTGAAATTAGTACAATATTCTAGAGGTGTTGTGGAATTTGATAAAATAATAAATTCGATTTTTTGAATCTCATGTAAATCCTTAATGAGTTTCATCCTACCAGAGTTTTTGTGTTATTTTCAAAAATTATTGACTCTGCTCTGAACAGTTAAATGTTTTATTATTTTTATTAAACAAAATAAGTAACTGTACTCACATTTTTAAATTTTTTCATCTAATTGTTTTATTTATCTTTTTGATCTGTTATTTTTTGTGACTAGAAACTGTGTTAGCAATATTAACTGGTCTCTCACTGAGACTATGCTTKAAAAAGTCTGAAATACTGACAGAAACCGCTTTCTGAATTAAAATATTAATATGCAAATTGAATTCGTTATCAAAGATTCTTGATAATAATTAACATTCAAACAGAAAGCAAGCTAAAATAAAAAGTGCTGAGTTAGACAAATTTAAATCTAAAAACTAATGAGAACACAAGTTTCTCTTAAAGGAAATTTGACGAAAAGTCAACACTGTTTTTGTCACACAAGCTTTGTGATGAATTTTATTTAAATTGCAATATAATAAACATTAACCAATATGTAATAATTTTATTTCAATCACATCTGGTTATTTTATGACAGCTACATTTATCACTTCACACCATATAAATAACTTCATTTATCTTAAGGTTGGACAACTATTTCATTCGACGAACAGACATCATATATGTAAATACATATGTATACTTACGTTTGTTACATTGTAATCGTAAAGTATTCTAACGACGCCGGCAATTTTTGTTATGTGTGTGAAGATTTAATTTTAAGTGTCAGCGTCGTAATTTCACGTCATTAATTGAACAGAGCTGTTTAGACTATTTTACCGAACCAAACGATTATGTAATATAGTAAGTTTTGCTTGAAGTGCCGAATGACATATGTGCCAAAATCGATTTTTATATCAGAAAGAGTAGATCCCCAAATTGAGCGGGGCAAAAATTAAAGAGAAAATATTTATAGGTCCACAAAGGCATAATTATAAAGARCAGAGACATATACAGCTATATACATATAGACATATAAAACTAAGGGATGTAAAATATCTTTAAAAATACAAGGTGCTTTCTCAAGTAAATAGGACTTAAAAAAAAAAAACAGAACAAATGGTTTTTTTTGGCAAAATCAATTTATTTTATTAAAAAAAAAGTCTCCCTCTGCTTCAGAACATCTTTTTGCACGGTCCAAAAGCATGTCGAACGAGTGTTTTAGCTCGTTGGCCGGTATGGCCGCCAGTATGTCAGCGAAAGCCTTTTGAATGGCCTCTACGTTTGCATAACGCTTTCCTTTCATGGGGAAATGCATTTTTCCGAAAAGGAGGAAGGAGGAAAACCGGRAGTGGTTAATGTTTAAAATGTGATTTTTTGTGAAAAAATCGTYTTTTGAATGTTGGGTTCTGAGCAATTTATGATCGTCAGTCAATTTGTGCGGWACAAACCGTGCACACATCTTTCGTAAGCCCAAATGCTCGGGAAAAATGCGTAAAATCGATGTTTTGGAGATGTAATCATCGCCATAAACTTGTTTCATCAATTGAAACGTTTCGGTAAAAGTTTTACCAATTTTAAAACAAAATTTAATGTTAGCTCTTTGTTCGAAGCACATTTTCGTACAGATAACACAAACATAGTGACACTTAAAGCACAATAACTTCACTTCCAATCGATGAAATATCATGAAATAGATAGCGCCACCACGAGGCGCTAGAGTCTTTGGAAGGCACCTTGTACATGCAAAATTTGGATGCTGTGTGTTACGAAGAAGGCTTTCTTAATGGAGAAGTGCTACCATGGGAATTGAAGCACAGGAATGCTAGCAAACGTGTTTGAAAGTCTATAAAGCAAAACCTTCCAGAAGTCAAATATTCTTAATTATTTATATACCATATGTACTAGGCCTATGCCTGAACCTGACAATTTTTCATTCATATATTATTATTATTATCACATATTAATGTTTAATGACCCTAGTGCAAGATTTTATTAGTTCGATAAGATTTTTCATGTCATAAAAAAGTTAAAATGTGATTGATTTGCGTTATTACTTGTACTTTTGTATCACTGCATAAAAAACATATTAATTGCAGCCTACTTCTAGGCTTAGTTTTAAAGCTTCTCTTAATTTAGCGTCAATAACCAAAGTGCGTCAGCTTTCAAGTTGAGCTTAATAATTTGTGCTGCATTAGTGCTTTTTAACCCTTGTGCGAACTTAAGGCCAACTTCAACTAATACAATAGCTATAAAGGRAATGTTTGTTTATGTTGCAACTGAAGATAGTTTTTCGCATTTCAAAAATGAAAACTCTGYTACAAATATTTGCATGCTATCCAGCTGATTCGATGAGGATCACTGTTTGCCTATCACATAGTAATAGTCATTCGTTTCTATATACTATATACGTTGTGCTCGGAAACTATAATAAAATTCTCCAGTTAAATGATATTTCATAAAATTGTATTTTGCTAAGTTGGTAGGTTTATCTTTAATTACTGTGCCAAATATAAGCGCGATCTGTCAACCAGTTTATTTACATCAGCTGTTTAACAATAAGTAAAAATATCAAACAAAGAATTTGTCGCAAATGACTTATTTCTAACCAAATTCCGTGTGCAGATCGTTGCAAATGTAGGAAAATGATGGTAGAGAGATCGTTGAAGACATGAYTCGTTATGGACGACCTTCGACC